GCAGAGCAGGCGTAGATTGGGCGAGCGAGTGCTTCGTATTTTCTTAACAAAATATGGCCGCCATCTTTGATTTTAATGGCAGCGGAAAGCTGGGGAGAGAAAGACATTTGTACTAAGGGGGTAAATGACAGTCAAAAACAAGGAGAGGGGCTGGGGTGGGGAGTGAATATTACTTCTCGCCCCTTCCCGCCCTCCTCCCCCTGCCGTCGAGTCTGACATCAAATTAAACATGGCCGGTTAAAGAAACGATCGCGCGCTTCTTAACATTAGGGACTTCAAGATCCGAGACGCGACGGCTTTAAGACGCCACCGGAAGTAAATTTTCAAAGACGTGCGATATTGCGCATGCTCACGCCGTCGTCTTGATGGTATCACGTCGCGTCGAGAACGTGTGTTTGGCAATTTTGACGTTCTGTACGAAACATGAGTATATTCCTTCCAGTGTTTAAATTAAATGATGATATATCCCTCTAAACATGAAAAATTAGCAATCTAGGATCATTTTACGTGATTTCTGGCGACATTTTAGATTACAGAGATGGAAGGATTTTGATTTTTTTTTTTAAATTTCTTTCAGGTGTACGAAGCTTATGAAATGGCAGCACCTTCGAGCAAGGCTTCCAAGTAAGTCACGAGCTGTAACTGCAAATAGTGAATGCAGGAGTCTTCTGCATACTTTCCTCGTCTCTTGTGCCGTTGCATTTCTCGATTTACATTTATTGCGTTCATCTGCCGCTAAACTAGCACATTTAAGCGTGAATTATTTAATTTAATTTTATTAAACTTTGAGTCTTTTTATACCGGCAGGTACAAAAAGCAGGTCACAGGTCACAGGTCACAGGTCACAGGTCACAGGTCACAGGTCACAATTAAAGAGTTATACACCGGGTAGAGTAAAGGCGTTGCATTATAGTGTTCCATTTCCGGTCGTGAGAAGTGAACATATAATATGCATGAACATATAATATACATGAACATATAATATACATGAACATATAATATACAATTGAGACCTGTTAATTGTGACCTGTGACCTGTGACCTGCTTTTTGTACCTGCCGTTTCTATACCTTCCTTTAGATCATTAATGTTTTGGACATATGACCATGAAGCCATCCTATGCAGAGAAGTCGTCAATGTAAATCCCTACACAACTANCCATGTAATGATCTCAACCCAGGATAGAGGCCTTCTGATATGCGGCAGGGATCTAGCAAGCCGATCCAGCAATGTAAATTGAAGACCATTGAAGGACTGCAAGTATTATGCAAACTACGATTTTATGAATAAAATTAAGTCTTGCGATATCAATAAACAAACCAACACTTACCGAAGTAGCTCTTTCAGCTGCTGCGATTTGTGCAAGGAAGGAGGCAGCTTTATGCGAAATTTTTCCTTACGGATAAAATCCTTTGGCGCTGCCCCAAGCTTGTAAAATAAGGCAACACATTTAATTATATCGACATTCGCCACATCGTCCGCCATCTTTCCACGTGCTTTCATGACCCTTTCGAGACTTTGAAGTCTGGCCTTATATCAAATTACCTCCCCACCCCTCCCCACTTCGCCGGGGACACAGAAGCAAGCCCTAACTGACTTGGTCTAGCCCTAAAAGGCAATCCTTTGTTAAAGAGAGAAGCTTTACGCAAGATAAAGTTACCGCTCAGTCTTCTGAGCCTCTTAACTCTGTTTGAATCATGATAACCGCCACAAAAACACGCAAAAACCGAAAACTGCGAGCTAAATTTATTATTTCCCGCAACTGCACGATAATTTCTTAACCGTAAACCGCCAGATAAATGTGAATGAAACCGCAAACCGGTACTCAAACTTGGCTTAAACCGCCAAACCGCTACACTATAATAGACCCTCAAGCAAGAGTGTATCGAAACAGGTAATAGATGAGTGAGCGTAATTCTGTATATCATCTAAGAACTAACTTCAATAAAGTGTTACCTATGATTTCTCTTAATTATCAACAGTATAAAGTCCATAAACGTTGGCTACTCTCGTAAAAAAGGTAAGGTAAAGCCTACTCAGGAGCCATGTGGCTCATCGGGCCGGCGCTTAACTCCGGTTTCCGTGGCATGAAGCGACTGGGGGTATTTCTACCCCTCTTCCTGGTTGGGATGTTAGTCCATCGCAGGGTTACTCCCCAGCATTAAATTCGCCGGTACCCTCTCAATACACCTGGGTGAAGAGAGGCACTGTGAAGAGTAAAGTGTCTTACCTAAGAACACAACACAATGTCTCCGGCCGGGGCTTAAACCCGGACCACTCAATCTGGAGTCGAGCGCACCAACCATGAGGCCGCCGCGCCTCCACTGGCTACCCTCGTGGATTCATTTTATTGTTATAATACTTGTTACAACATTTGAATGCTTTAAAATGTAGATGGTCATTAACTCGGCACCAGTATCGCTCAGCAATAAAAAGTGAACTTCTACACTTCGAAGAAAAGAGACTCATATGCTGATGAAAGCGATGATAAACCGAAGCGTCAAGAAGTGGAGGTGATGCTATCAAGTGACCAAATGAAAGTGGAATACCTAAAGATGAGGAAGGAGCATCAAACACTCGAGAGAGAGAAAATGAAGGTCTTGAGGGAACAGCAAATGCAAATGCAACAAGCAGACCTGCTGAAAGTCATGCAGCAGCAACAGCAACAAAGCCAGCAGCAGTTACTCAACTCTCAGATGATGATGATGCAGCAGTCAAAAGCTTTGATGGCGTTATTGGAAAAAATAACAAATAAGTAGTTATTGTTTACAATGAAACACTTTCAGATGCAATTGTTGTTGTGTTAGTTGAACTTGGAGCTTTGCTTCACATAAACATTCTCTTTTGGCTAATGTTATTTTATGCCCTTTAATTGCTTCAGTGTTGCTACAACTGTTATAACTTATATTTTTGAAAATTGG